GAGACCCTGTTCCCTCCTCATAGTTGTGTGTCCAGGAGCCCCTCAAGGCCTGTGCCCTCATCAGCCCAGCCCAGACTGGCCCCATTTAGCAGGCCCAGACTCACAGCTTCTTCCTCCAAATTGGGTCAGGGATGAGAGGCACCAGCCAGTTAAACCTTAGCCCCATTTCACAGCTACTACTTGAGCTGGCTTCTGGGTAGACAAGAAAGATGGTATAGAGCTGCCCCTCACACCCAGGAGGGGTGCTGGCCTTGTCTACCTAGTACAAGGCATAAAGGAAGGGAGAGAACACATGCTTATTTATTACTAATTTGTATCTTCCCAACACCCCATTTTATACTGGGCATGGTGACACATACTGTAATTACAGTATTCGGGTGTCTGAGGCAGGAGGATCACCACGAGTTTGAGTCAGCCTGGGCTACATAGTGAATTAGAGACCAGTCTGAGCTACATAGTGAGACCTTGTCTCAGAAACAAACAAACCAACACCCCAATACTTCATTTTACAGAGAACACAGGCTAAGAGAGCAGGACATCCATGAGACTCAAACCCACATGACTCCAAGCCTCTAAGAGATAATCTTGCTCCTCATCTCTTTTCTTCTTCTTTTTTTTATTGGTACCGGGGATCGAACTCAGGACCTTGGGCTTGCCAGGCAGGCTGTAGAACCACTGAGCTAACCTTATCTTCTTCAACAAGGACCGGAGGAAGGAATGGTATGAGATGAGATGGTACACAGTGACCTTAGTTGTGGGCTGGGGTGGGGGCAATTGGGCCAAAGTATGCTGACATAGCAGCAGGTCAGTGCTTGCCCGGGCAGCCAAGGTGCACCCTGCAGGGAGCCTGGCCTGCTAGTCAGGTGACTCTGGCTTCTGAGGGTTAAAGAAGCTAGAGGTCACTTTCACAGAGAAACAAAGACCTAGAAGAGGAGAAATACAAATGGTTGCTACACTGAATCACATGCAGCCCATGAAATGAACAACTCCAGGGGGTGTCATTCCCATGCTTGACCACCCTGATAGACCGAAGAAGAGCTGGAAACGTAAACGTGTAGCTATGTTCTTTGAAAAGTACAGGACTTGGATAAGGAGTGGGGCTGTGACCATCTTAGCACTCGTCTGTGGAGAACTGGCTTGAAGGTGGAGCAGAGGCAGAGAGCAAAAGGAAAACTACCATAGAGCCAGCATCCCACCTTCAGACCAGCCTAGGGTGCTGCATATCTGGATGAAATTCTGACCGGCAAAGATGAGTGGGTGAGAATGACCTCACTAGCCAGAGAGCCACCAAGTTCCTGCCCCATTGCTGAGGGGCTGAAGGAACCCAGAACCCAGATCAAAATCTGGAGCATGGAAAATAGAACTGGAGCTAGGATTCTGGAGCCCAAAGTCTCGAACTGGAGTTTGAAGCCCAGAATGCAGACTGAAGCCAAAAATCCTGAAGTCCAGAACCTAGAGCCACGAATCTGGATTTGGAGAAGAACCCAGAGTCCAGTGCCTAGAACCAGAGCCCCAAGCTTGACATCAGTGCCAGAAACTAGATCCAGGAGACTGGAACTCAGAGCCCAGAGAATTTAGAATTCAGGGCCTAGAACTCCCAGCTGGAAGCAGAATTAGAGTATGGATTCCAGAACCAGGAGTTAATTAAGCTCAAGGCCCAGAACACAGATCAAAGCCAGATCTCAGAACTTCAAGTCTAGAACCTAGATACCAGGGACTGGAACTGCTGCTTTGGTAGCATGCTGTCCATGCTGAGCATGCTGTCCCCAGCCCTACTCTCCATGCTGGACCCTGAGGCCGTATGAAGGACACAGGACTAGAGCCACATGAGGGAGGGAGCTACAGGGAAGAGGCAATTTCTAAAATGCTCAAAGCAGCCTCAGCTCTTTTGGCCAGACTTTGGCCTTGCCTGTAAATCAGTGACCAGTGCCTGGGACACAAGGATTAATAATTATACAGGCTGCTTCTCCCCCAAATGGGAATGGGGCATCCTTAGGTCAGCCACCCCTGTCCTTGGCCCAGGAGGTGCCTTGAATTCCCCATCTGCAAAATGGGACTTGGATGAGACAATATCCCAGGGTTCTGTCTGCACTGGGCTGCTCTGGCCAGCTCAGATTGAAACCCAAGCTCTCTAAGGGAGGACAGTCAGGAGAGCCAGTGGAGGGAGTGCTCTGTTCCCCAGGGGTAGGTGGCTAGTGGCCCTTCTGCTATACCTTCCAGCCCCGTGATAAGAACCCTTTCCCTGACTGCAAGAAATGCATCTGTGGTACGTGTGTTCATGTATAGGCATGGTGGTCTGAATGCTGGGATGATGATCACTGCCATCTTCCCAGTGTACAGCACTGTTCTGACCCATAGCAGGGCTTGTATGTTCATTGAATTAATTCCATGCTTGTGAGAAGAGGCACAAGTCCTCAGACTACACTGATGGGGAACTCGGTTGTGGAATTCAACTCTCCCTATACCCTGAACAATCCAGTTCATAGACAGAATGGTCTTGAATGTTGGTTTTTCTTCCTTTGATTGTACTCAATCTTCAGGTCCTGCAGAAAACTCACATGCAGAAAACTATTTAAGGAGCAAACAGATGTTAACCAAGAATTGCGAAATCAACTGGTGGTGCCAACAACCTGCTCTGTTCCTGGATCCACAGGCTTGTTCTTGAGAACAATTTCTCTCTCTGTTCTGCCGTTGTGCTGCTCCTGGGGAAGTTATTTTCACTGGCATTATGAAATTCAATATATGTCGGCCTCTCACATTCATGCTGGCCGTGCTGTTACCGCTGTACATCACCACCACCTGTTCCTAATCCATTGCAGCTGTCTCCTCCCCCCTCAGATTTTGACATCTCAGCAGCATTTAATCCAACTGACCAGAGTGTCTCTCTCAAAACTTGGTCAACCTAGGCATTAAGGCACTGCATTTCTTTCTGGTCTTTCTCCTGATCCCTGGGTGCTCTTCTTGGTCTTCTTTAATGCCTTACCCTTCCTTAAATGTAGGTACACTTCTGGGCTCAACCATGGGCTTTCTTCATTATACATACAGTCCCTGGGGTCTGACTTCCCAGGCATAGGTTCAGGCCAGCAAGGCCAGAAGGAAGCCAAGTTGCATTGGTCCTCCCAGGCTGTGACGGCATGCTGGTCATTTGTTGTTCAAGCAGTTATCACGCTTTTGTTTTTTATTATTTTTGGTACTGGAGATCGAACTTGGGATCTTGTGCTTATGAGGCAGGTGGCGGAACCACTGAGCTAAATCCCTGGCCCAGTTATCATGTTTTTAAAGGGAAGGCGGTGACATGATTGACTTTGGATTTTGAAGAGGTCACTGGCTGCTTTCTTTGGAGAATGTGTTGGGGGGCAGCCACAGCAGACACAGGCAGGGCACTTGGGAGGTCACTGCAGTTCCCCAGGGGAGATGACTCAACCCAGAGTGGCTCAGTCCACGAAGGTGGCCACAGAGATGCTAGGCAGTGAAAGGATCAGGTTGCTCCTGGAGAGATAAAATTAGGAAAATTGGAGGAAGATTTGGAGGTGAGGGGGTGGAGGAGAATAAACGTCCAGGAGGTCTGCCTGGTGTCTGGCTCCAACTGATGGGCTACACTCTACTTGCAAATGCTGGGAACATGAAGGAGGCTCACTCAGGGTAGGGTGAGGAGCACAGTGTGCTCAGACCTAAGAGCCAACTGCTCCTGCCAGAATCCCCTCTGACATAGCCTGGGCAGACGCATCTGCCTCCCAAATGGCTTCTCCTCTTCTGTGCCTTTTCTCCAAGTGAGACAACCCCAACTAGCATGGCTCTGAGCCGTGAGAAAGTCCAGGAAAGCCATGGCCAGGGAGACACACTGACACTGTCACGAACCAAAGAAGAGACAGGCACCTGGGGACGGACAGTCATAAAATGAGCAAAGGGGCTAGAGACCTGGATCTCCAGGGCTAAAATGGAGCCACTTTCTCTGCTGCTCCCAGGAGCTCTAACAGAAGATCTGGCTAACTCTAAAAGTTTCATTCCTTTGGAAATGGTGGCTATATAAGTCTATAGAATTTTGGAATTTTGTCTCTTAGGATGCATTTAATCAATAATTAACTGCAGGGCTGGGGATTTAGCTCAGCCGTTTCACGGCCTGCCTTGCACAAGGACCCAAGTTCGATCCTTGGTACCAAAATAATAATAATAATAATGATAATAATAATAATAATAATAATAATTAACTGATTTCCCAAAAAACCCTGAACTCTATGGCAAAAGGAAGGACCTTTTGCTTGGACCTTTGCTTAAATGAGAGGGGAATCTGGCCTTGACGTCTTCATCCAGCATGGAATAGGAATTTAACTGAATGGAATTTAGGAATGGATGGGCACACATATGACTGGCTAGCTGGCCAGATGGATGGATGGATGGATGGACCAGAAGGAGGATAGGTTGATAATGTTGGTAAGTTACTTAGTAACTTAAGCTAGAATTTTTGGGGTACTGAGGATTAAACCCAGAACTCAGGGCCTTCACACTGAATTACACCCCAGCCCTTTAAAACAATTTTGAAAAAATTTTTTGAGATGGAGTCTCCCTAAGTAGACATATTGTCCAGTCTGGGTTTTAATTTGAATTTCCTGCCTAAGCCTCCAGGAGTGTTGGGATTACTTGGACCTTTGCTCAAATGAGAGGAGAATCTGAGCGCCATCATGCCCAGTTCTAAATTAGATCTTGTATGGAACCAACATTGTTTAATCTGGTCACATCTTTAATCCCAACCAAAATCTCATTACTGTGTGACTTTGGACCCTAACTCAGGCTCCACGGTCCCAGGAAAGGGAAATAAAATTCTGTGCCTGGGGGCAGGGGATGTGCTTGTGCCCTGGCAGGATCATGGTTCAGTTAACTGTATGTTGGGGAGGGTAGAGCCTGACTAAACACTCCCCCTGCAGAGCTAAAGATTAGCAATTAACAGGGAAGAATCTCAGGATGAAGTTAATTGGGGAACAAAGGGAGGGCAGGTAGGGTTATAGGAACTTTGCCTTTGATCTGAAGGTATAAAGAGGAGATCTCAGCTATTCATTAGGCCCCTGGAGGCTTCCCTGAGCTGCTAAACAGGAGCTGAAACATAGAACCTCAAGGTGAGACCAGGAGCCCCCCACTCCAAGCTCATCCCTAACCCATCACCCCATCCCTGTTTCTGTCTGTGCACCCACTTCCTGCTCTCTATAACACCTTGGTCACATCCCAGCCTGCCTCACTCTTCTAGATTGAAAAGGATTGCTTTTGCAGGGTTTAGAATTCAGCTCTGCATATTCTTCTACCCCATGGACCTCTGGGACATTGTGGCAAGACATCAAAGCAGTCAGGGACACCCTACCCCAAGAGCAAACATTCATGGGGCAGTGCAGGGAGCACCTAAGAAAGGCTAGTCCTTGTCTGAGCCTCATTCATGGAAAAGACTACCAGTATTTGTTTACTGCCCTTTGAGGACATGGATAGGGGAGAGAAACCCACTGTGAGAGGTATCCAGGACCTTCGGATCCAGGCTAAGGGACCCTCCCCAAGGTGTATACTCAGCTGACTCCATAAGCCAAAGGTGTCCATGGCACCTCCTTGATCTCCGGATGGAAAGACTTCCTGCATGGCTCACCTGGGCTACATCTGCAGCCTCTGTGTTATGTCCCTTGTTCCCTGGTTCCCTTCTGCTGCATGCATAGCAATTCTGTTTCCAAGCAGCTGGGCTGTCTCCCGTTCCAGGGCTATTGCAAACATGCCCTTCTCCCTCTCCACCCAGGTACCACCCAGTTAATCAGGTTCATTTCAGCTTCATGAGCTCTTCCTTCTCCACGAGCCCATGCCTTGTCATGGAACACTAGTGGTAGCTGTATCTATCATAACACCCCTACTGTCATTTCCCACTTATTGAGAGATTATTTCACTTACATCTGTCTCCCCACTAGACTTTGAACTTTCTGAGGGCAAGGGCTATGTCTGTCTTTAGTCACCACTGTAGCCCAGCATCTAGCTCAGAGCCTGGAATAAAGTAGATGCTCAAGAAATACTTGTGGGACACACACACGCACGCACAAACTTAATAAATGAATGGGTGAAGCAATGTGTAAATTGGGCCTGAGTGCCTGAGTGTGCATCTCTGGATGTGTCTGAGGAGAGGGACGGGATGGGGGATTTGTGGGTGTACATCTGCGTGTGTGTGGGTAGGAGTGTCTAGGACACAGCAATTGTCATCCAGCATTGCTGCAATTCCTGACATGCAGGCTTCACTGCCAGTGCCCAGTATGATGTCCTATGGAGAGAGGCTGGGGAGCCCCGCTGTCTCCCCACTTCCAGTCCGTGGCAGGCATGTGATACATGGGGCATCCCTTGCCTATGTGCCCAGCCCACAGGGTGAGTGCTGTTCCCACACCCTGGACCCTGCTTGTGAATGGTTGTCCACATCCCAAGGGAGGTCCCTGCTCTTCCACTTGCCTCTCCCCTTCCCCAGGCCCCTGGGGCCTCTGGAAACTGCTAATCAGCCTTTTCCCCCAGTCCTGCACAGGATCCCAGGGACAACCGCTTATGCCTTCCCCAGCCTGAGCCCAGTGGCTCTTACTGAGCATGGCTGCCCCTATGGAGAGGTTTTGGAGCTCCATGACCCACTACCTGTCAAGGTGGCCCTGGAGGAGGAGCAGAAGCCAGGTAAGCTGGGCTAGAGGGCAGCAGGGGCAAGGGCGATCATAGTCCCGGTCCCCTGCCTGCTATGCTCATACATGGCTTGCCTCCAGAGCTGGGGCTGGCCCAGAAGATATGCCAGGTTGGCACCACGCTTCTCAAAGTACCACTGATGCTGGCTTTCCTTTATCTCTTTGTCTGCTCCCTGGATGTACTCAGCTCAGCCTTTCAGCTGGCCGGAGGTAGGGCCTAGTCAGAGGAGGCTGGGGAAAGGGTTTTGGGAGGACCTCAGATGATACTGACCTGTGCTCCTCAGGGAAGGTGGCTGGAGACATCTTCAAGGACAATGCCATCCTGTCCAACCCAGTGGCGGGGCTGGTGGTGGGGATCCTGGTAACTGTGCTGGTACAGAGCTCCAGCACCTCGACTTCCATCATCGTCAGCATGGTCTCCTCTGGCTGTGAGTGGGCCAGGGCAAGAGCCTGGGGACCTTGGGTGGTACTGGTGGCATGTCAAGGGTGTGGGATGGGAGAAGTACTGGGGATGGGGGAGAGGGCTGAGTGCAAAGAGCAGGGCTCTCACATCTGCCCGCTAAAGCAGAGCCAAAGCCTATATTATGATTTATTGCAAAGAATTGCTTTGCGCAATTGTGACATGGCTAGTCAAATCTGAAATCTGTAAAGCAGGAAATCTGGAAGACAGGCTGGAATTCCTAAGCAGAGCCAATGCTGTAGTCCACAGGTGAAAGTTCTTTCTCCTAAAGGAAGCCTTGGTTTTACTTCTAAACCCTTTTATCCCATTGAATGAGTGTCACCTAGATTATCAAGCATAATCTCCTTTACTTAAAGTCAACTAATGGTAGGTGGAAATCACATCTATGAAGTACAAGAAGGCAAATCCAGAAACACCCAGATTTGTGCTTGATTGAATAACTGGGCACTAAAGGCTAGTGAAGTTGACACACAAAACTAGCCTGTGTGTATACACAAACACAAGTATGTATTTGTGCATTGGACACAAGACCTCACAGTGCACTCACACACATGTATGTACTCACCTGGTGCGGTACATATACATCTAGTCACATGGGTCATGGGGCCAACAGGTATTGTGGGGCTGGAGCCAGGTGGCCCTTACCTAATTAGTTAAGAAGTCACCTTGCCAGGTGTGGTGGTGCATGGCTGTAATGCCAGCAGGGGGATCGCCATGAGTTTGAGGCCAGTCTGGGCTCCATAGTGAGTTCAACGCCAGTCTGAACTGCAAAGGGAGACCCTGTCTTAAAAATAAATAAATAAATAAAGAAGAAACCTCTTCTACCAGTGCTGGAGGTGAGCTCTGCCATCCCCATCATTATGGGCTCCAACATCGGCACCTCTGTCACCAATACCATCGTGGCTCTGATGCAGTCAGGGGACAGAACTGACTTCCGGCGGTGAGGAGAGGGTAGGAGGGTGGGGCTTTTGCTCCTTGGGGGAGGGCAGCCCCACATTCTGGGAGCTTCCAGGATGAATGCACCCTGGCTCCAAGTTGCCCTGCAACATGGCCTCCCTGCCCAGGGCCTTCGCGGGGGCCACAGTGCACGACTGCTTTAACTGGCTATCCGTTCTGGTCCTACTGCCTCTGGAGGCTGCCACTGGTTACCTGCATCACGTCACCGGACTTGTGGTTGCCTCCTTCAATATCCGAGGCGGTCGTGATGCCCCTGACCTTCTCAAAATCATCACAGAGCCCTTCACAAAGCTCATCATTCAGGTGGGGACAAGGCCTGGCATGGGGTAGAGGCTGGAAGTAACAAGACGCATCACCCTCACTCTCCTTCTCTCATCTTGCCCACAGCTAGACAAGTCTGTGATTACCAGCATTGCTATAGGGGATGAGTCCCTGAGGAACCACAGTCTAATCCAGATCTGGTGCAACCCAGACCCTGTGGAGGTGAGTCCCAAGCCTGGCCTCTTAATTTTATGGTTCATAATCCTCCAGATAGTCCTTGGAGATCATTTAGCCGGAAGAGAGCAAATATATGTTACTTTTTCTGTGATAACATGCCGGTGGCAGACATTGCTAATCTCTCTCAAACTCACACGTTGATTTAGGCAGACATCACCAATCAATTAGAATTGATGTGTAATTAATCTACCCCAGTAGACCTCAAAGTACGGTCCATGGAGCACTGACATCAGTACCACCTGGGAAGGTACTGGAAATATAAATTGAATGTACATCCTTCCCTAGAACTACTGAATTATGCATCAACAAACCCTCTGGGTTTGTTTGTGCTCATTTGATTTTTCGTTATATTTTGTTTTTTGGTACCAGGGATCAAACTCAGCACCTTGTGCTTGTGAGGCAAGCGGTGCCCTCACTGAGCTAAATCCCCCAGCCCCTTGTGCTCAAGTTTGAGAGCCATCAATATAGTCTGCTCTCTGATTTCACAGGTAGAGAGATATTCAGAAAGACTAGGAATCTTGCCAGACCTTATCTACTGTGTCAGGGCCTGAGGATATCAGCAGGGTTAGTGACTCAGATGTTTGGGGACCCAGAGGGAGAGAGGGTGAGACGAAAGTTCTATAAAGACACTTGGGGAAACTAGGATGAATAGGAACCTAGCTCAGGGGCAAGACACGTGAGCTGCCACATGGACACTTCCTCGAGACACAGCAGACACTTGGGCTATTAGGATGCCTTCTCCTAGACTATACAAGTGTGAGTCCTCTATCTTTCTGCACTGTTTCCCTGCTTCTACTGCTCACAAGAACTATTGAGATTGGTTGGACACTCATGGACCAGCCATTATGCCAGGGCAACAAGGAAGCAGGCAATTAGCACACTTTCTTTCTCAGCTATAAAAAAAGGAAAATGCTTAAAGATCATAATCCACCACATTTTCTTCTCCTTAGTTATTCATATAAGAACTAATTTCATTTAGAACAAAATGCAAAATCTAAAGCCCACAGTTCCGGCCTAAGCCCTTCCCCCTCATTCTCTCCGTTTGCTACTTGATGTTACTGGACCTTTTCCCAGCATGAACAGAAAACACTCAATCAACTTGCCCTACCATGTTCCTTTGCATCCAAAGTGGCACACAGCTCGAGCTCAGCCTTTTTGAGAGTTTAAGGCAGCATGAAAAAGCCCATGTGGATAGCTTTTATGTTGGCTTCATGACCTCTCTAACATGTCAGCTTATCTTCTCATGAGCTCTTGGGGCACGCTGAGAGCTCTCTAATTACCATAGCTCCTCTACTGTAGAGAAAAATCTAGTCTACAGCCATACCACCCTGAACGCACCTGATCTTATCTGTGGAGCAAGATCTGGAAGAGAGAAATCACACACTTTAATTTCCCACACAAAAAAGAAATTCTTCTACTGTTCCTCACTTCCTCTGAGCTGCCCTCATGCAGTGTTGGTTAGGTGAACACAAGGACCCCTTTTTACAAAAGCAGAAACTGAAATTCAGCTATGTGAAGTAACTGTCCACCTTCGCCTGGCTGGGGCTGGCTTCAGGCTTTTCTCTACTGTCCTAGGTACCACTTTCCAGAGCTCTGATTTCAAGTCCCCACTCTATTAGGAAATCGTTTCCTTATCAGCACCTTGTAAAGAGATGAGTTCCCTGTGCTTACCCTCCTTCGGGGACTTTTGCCCATAGGAATGTGATTCATGGCTCATGCTCTTGTGATGTGCAGTGGTGGCACCTCCTGCACCAAAGACTACACCAAAGTTTTTCTTTTGATGCCAAACTTTCCCTAAGCTGTATTCCTTCCAACTTATTGCCTCCAGCTTTTAGCACTCGGGACCCAACCTTGCCCAGTGGGTCTCCCGGGACCCTATGTCAACAAGGAAAAGATGAGAGTCTAAGGCTTTCCAGGTGGGAAAAGGAAAAACAGACCCACTTTTGGTGTCTTAAACACTTCTGGATGTTCTGCAGGCCTGGTACTGTCCAAGAATTGTCTTTTGTGGGGAGTCACACTGTAGATTGTCAACTATACTTGCCCTTAAATAAGTATCTTTTGAGGACTTGCAACCTGGGAAGCAGGGCTTATCAACTCTACTTTACAGATCAGGAAACAGCCTCACAGAGGTACAGTGGTTTATCTTAGTCCATAATTAAGGTAGGGTTCAAATCCTGGTGGAATATTGACCTCTCATCTTTCTGCTTCTCCAAGATAGCGTCTTGACATGCCACCCTTTATGTCCATTTCCCAGCCTGCCCATCAGGCCTGAATGCGACTCCAAAGTGACGGGTGGGTGTTACTCTGGGGAAAAATCTTTTTTTTTTCTTTCAGACAGGATCTTGCTATGTAGGTCCGGCTAGCCTTGAACTTACTATGTAGCCCAGGTTGGCCTCAAACTCATGGCAACCCTCCTGCCTCAGCCTCCCTAGTGCTGAGATTACAGGCTTTGTCTGCCACTGTGCCTTTTATAATGATAAATTCTCCTCTTAGCCACCAGATGGAGCTGCTAGCACAGAGCTATTCTGCTGCTTACAGAAGAACAAAGGCCCTGAGCTCCCTTCCTCTGGAGGGGAAACTATTGCTCAGGCCCACATCCTGTGTGTTTCTCCCCTGGGAAAGGATTCTTGGAGCCTGATAGTCCTCTGTGAGCTTAATCACTTCCTTCAGTTCCCAGAAGCGTCTCCTTAATTTGGGGTGTCTCTACAGGCACTTAAATCCCAGCTCCCTCTTTCAAGACTGCCAACTAATGCCTGGGGGAAAGGCACACAACCTCACCAATTCCATGCCATGGAGAAGGCAAGTGAGGCTCAGGACCAGCATACAGTTCAGTGTCACACAGCTGGGAATGGCTCAGCTGGGGCGACCCCAGGTCATGAGAAGGCCATTCATTCTGTTCTTTCTTCAGTCTCCCCTCCGCAGCCCCTTCCCGCTCCTCCACTCAGACCCTAGGCCCAGGCAGGATAGGCACATCCTGGAAGAAGGCCCCAGATGCTGGGCCTCCAGGCTCTGTTATCTAGGCTGCAGTTTCTGCCTTCTGCCTTCCCCTGCAAGAAAGCCCCAAGGTATGCTGCTTTGCCCTAGTTTCTCCTCCCACCTAGTTTTGCAGTCTATCAGTCACCTCTCTTTGCCCCAACTGCTACCTTTATACCCACTTGTAATTTAAGGTCTCTCACACCCTCTGTGGACTCAGCCAGGGCTATACAACCCTATGTAGAAAGATCAAGGCTCCAGAACCCCAAAGGTGGGCCTGGGTATATAGCTCAGAGGTACAGTGTGTACTTGGCATGCATGAGGCCTTGGCTTGTATCACACACACACACACACACACACACACACACCAGAGGCTAGCCCTTAGCTTGGCTATGCCCCTGATACTTCCAGCCCTAGGGCAGGACCCCAGCAAAGCTCCTTATCCTTCTCCAGTCTCCAGGGTCACAATCCCTTCCCCCAAGAGACCCTTGGGCCCAACCCAGAATGATCAGTGTGACATAGGTTGATCAGGCACGCACAGGGGATCATCTGCTTGCTAGGGGACACACCTGCCCCAAGAAAGTCCACCACATTCCTACCCAGAAAAGCCAGGAGCTACCGGGGTTCTGACTGAAGAAGTCCATCATACACCATATGATTCTGATAGGCCCGGGGAAGGAAACTATCTGTTCCTTATTTGGAGACACAGTTGACTAAGGCTTGTCAGGAATTAAAGCCTGCAGTGAGGGCTTTACATATATTTTCTTTTGTAACCTTTATAACAGCTTTTTTTATTATCCTATTTTAAAGAAATATGACTCGGAGAGGTAGCATGACTAACTCAGGGTAGTTGGTATAAAAAAATAGGATTTGAACTCAGATCTGCCTGACAGCAAACACCTGGCTCTCTCTCCCTTACCTGCACAGTAGGTAATTACCATCACTCTCCCAGCTTGGTCTTCCAATCTATTCTATCAGTTTCCTCCTGGTTTTTCAGGCTGCAGTTCAAGCCCCAGGCTTGACAGACACGAGGAACTGGGAACACAGATAGGCACATTTCCCCACCTGAGGGAGCGCATCCCACTAAAATAAACTGTAATTTTGCCATAAACAATTCTTATCTCTATCATACTCCTCCCAACCTTCTCCCTCACATTTTCTCCCCCTGCCCCATGCTGGGATGGAACCCAGGGCCTTGTGCAGGTTAGGTGAGTGCTCTACCACTGAGCTGCATCTTCAGTCCCATCATATATATTTTTTTTTAATTAAAAAGAAATGTGTTTGAGACAGGGTCTCACTATGTAGTTGAGACTGACCTGGAACTCACTATGTAGCCCAGGTGGTCTTGAATTCACAGCAATTCTCCTGCCTCAGCCTCCTGAGTGCTGGGATTACAGGTGTGCTCCACCACGCCTGGCTAGTCCCATT